GCGGGGTGAAAGTGCTTTTCCCCTTGCAGGCAGTGTGTGCGAGTCCCCTAGCCTCAGAGCGGGGCCATCCCCTGCCTGGGAGGAGGACAGCCACAGGGTTTAGCTGGGGTCAGAGGGGGAAGAACCCTCCCGAAGGAGGAGGGATCTGGGTGGGCGGCACGCTCCGGAAAACGCGTTGCGGGGTCTCCCAGACCTGACGCGCGCGCAGGGCGCTCTGTGTGGCTCAGCTTTTGTGTACGGGGAAATGCTCGTCAGCGGGAAAAGTGCAACCTCAGGTTCTCTCCCACAGGCAGCTCTTTGTTCCCAGATAAAGGACCTTACACCAAAGGCCCTTTGTGCCGCTGCTGAGAACGGTGCCAGGATTAATTGTACCGATAGGTGCTTGAATGGGGAGCGCACAAGGCCACTCACTTCTGCTGTAATTATCTTCAAAACCGAGGAGGAAATTAAAATATGCAGGGAGATGCCCCTTTTGGTGGCTTTTTGACTAGCAGGCAGTCACTAAGATTGAAACTGCATCCCTAAACAAGCTGCCTTTCCTTCCAGAGGAGCATGGCATGGCAGCAAGGGGGAGAGGCATCTGGCACCACCATGAGCAGCTGCCACGATGGAAGCCAAGCTATATCCTGGGGCAAATGGCCCAGCCATCGATGCTGTCTGCAGGAGCCCGGTGTGGGGTGAGTGGCCATACGGTCGGGCCGGGCCACTCGCCTCACACTGAGCTCCCGCAGACATGGTGCCATGGTGTGCATAGCTCCCGGAGAGCACGGGCACGTTGCAGAACAGGTTCCTCTGTTTGCGGCAAGGCTGCGTGGGTGTCTTTACTAACTTTCCTCCTTTGCCTTCTTTCAGGATGCTCTGGACTTGCGCGAGTTGCCTTCTCCTCGTCGGGGCAAGGAGCTGGCGTCCTACCTTGCCAGCGCATCCTGATAAAAGCCAGCGGTCCCCATGTTCAAAGGCGAGAGTGTTCAAATCTGAGCCAGTTGGTGGAGACGATTGAGTCTTCCCCAGCGGCTTCATCTTGAAAGAATTTTGACTTTTCGCCTCCCCCCCCTTTCTGGCTCAGACGTCGCTGCTGCGCACGTCTGCCGCTCAGCAACGCGAGACGGGCTCTCTGGGCCTCTTAAAGGGGGGAGTTCAAACGTTTTTGCTGGCCTCAGACCGTGCACGTCACATTCCTGAGCCCCTGCACAGGGAGGAAGAGGTCCCCAGCTCCAGATGGGTCCTCGCCAGGGCTTGAAACACCCAGCGAACTGCTGGAGACTTGAGAAAGGTGATGGGAGAGCTGCTGGCAGGGGACCCCTGGTCTTTGCAGCTTGGGGGTGCATCTGGGAGGAGATTTTTGCAGGGTAGGGAGGGCAGCTGGAGCAATGCTCACAGCCCCATCTGAAGAATGGGGCTCTTTTTTTTTCGGGCATCCCACTCTGCAATGGAAATCCTGCTTTTATGTGGCATTGACCATGGCCTGCTGCATTCACTGGAGCATAGTGAGGCTGCTGCAGCATCCCTTGCCTTAGCCTGGCTGGAGATAAGGAGAGGACAACTCCAGAGTGCTGCAGACGGTGATAAAGCAAGCCTTAGGGTGACTTCCTCAAGCTGGTGAAATTGGGAGCCAATTTCCCATTGACTAATGGGACCAGGCTCTTGCTGTGGTGTGCGGGATTGAGCTGGCTTTGACTCACTGCTCGGCCAGCCCTGATGCCATTCACGTCCCTCCAAAGCACCTGCAAACCTGAGCTGAGCTGGGAAACCACTGGTGCCGCCTCTGAGCTACCTCTGGCACCATGTGCCAGAGTGAGAGAGCAGCTGGCTACTCCCGAACCACTGAAACCTGGTGCTTGCTTATCCCCGCAGCCCTGGATGCTAGCATGTGTCCCTTTCATGGGGGGCCAGCGCTTGGTGTGCCCCGGTGTTTGCTGGAGAAAGGACACAGGTTTGGTGCCAGGCTGCTGTGAGATCTCCATGGCAGCTTTAAGGGCAGAGAGCAGTTTCTGCGGCTTGGCTGTGGCCAGCTCGGCTCAGCATGCCGGCGCCTGGGACCACGCAGCGCAGCAGCCTGCAGGGCCATTGGCCTGCGACCTTCACAGGCGGTGAGCTGCGAGGGGCTGGGAAGCTCCGCTGACCCTACCTGGCCCCGCTCGCTTCCACAGCTGCAGGAAACCCCTGCTGCCCTCCACACTCAGCCCGTTTCCTTTAGCCGAGTTGCTCAGTGATTTTATTTTTATTATTTCCCCTCCCCGCTCTCTCTGTGCGGTTTACATGGCTCTCACGCCAGCGGCTGGCTTGGCTGTGTCAGGTTTTTTTTTTCCCTCCTCCGCTGGTCAGATGGCAGATGCTGCCAAATTAGGATGTAGTCAGCGAGCCTCCTGTCCGAGCTGCGTCTCTGCCCAGGGCCGGCGCTTGTGGGGAAGGGTGCTGCCGGAGGGGACGCTGCCCGCATGCCCTGTCCTGGGGCCGGGCCAGTGTGGCAAGGATCGCCTGCATGGGGGCTGCTGCTGTGCAGGGGAGCTCGCGCACCCTGGGCAGGTTTGGGGAGCAAAGCTCCCATCCCGCCCCAGGAGCAGGGATGCCCGCACAGTCAGGTCTGGCCAGGCTCTGCCATAACTGGCCACAGGATCCTCGCGCCGCCCTGCTCACGGGCACACCCTGCCACCCAGATCTCCATCTCCTGGCCTGACTCACCACCGCAGCCGCTCATCCACACCGGCCCCAACCCTGAGCACGCAGGGCACCCCTTCCCCTCTCCTCCTGCAGAAACACCCACCCAGCCGCCTGCGCTGGGAGCATGGCCCTTTGCTGTCCGGGCCCGCGCGGGGTCTCTGTGCCGGGACTTGGCAGCCCGGCATGCTGTCAGCGCTGAGCGCGCGCTTGGCTCCGCTCTGCCGCCAACGCGGCGTGCCTGGGCCCTCGTGCGGCACCACTGTGCCCTTATTAGGGCAGCCGGCACGGGGCTGTCCCTCGGAGAGGTGCGGGTGGCCCTGCTCTGCAACCTGCTCCCCCATGGTCTGGCACCAGCTGCCCTCCCTGGGAGCCACCCCAGTGCGGGGGTCAGGGGAGTATGGCGGCGGTTTGGGGAGATGTCGTGGCTGTGCGGAGCTGTGCTCAGGCCCCTGCCAGCAGTCAATAGCTGATGTGGCGGGGGAGGGGGGGGGGGGGGGCGGTTGTTGCGTCTGCCCGTGCCCCGGCCCTCCTGGCATCCTCATCACGAGTCCCCCTGTGTTACCTGTTTGGTGGACAGCGCCTTCCTCCTCTCCCTTTGTTTTTGCCAGATGACCCTAGTTTGTGTTTTTGAGAAATGGCAAATAACCACTGCCCAATAACCACCTCTGCGCTCCTCCTGTTAGCAAACAAGAGCCGGTGTCGGTTTGTTCTTCTTGTTGTAGATGCTGCCCCTGACCCTCTCTCAGCTGGGGAGCTGGCACCATGAGGGGTTTTCCTCACTCTGTCCCCAGTGCTGTGTCCGCTGCCAGCCCACCACGGGATTGCATTTATGTTTGCTCCACATGCCCAGCCTGGGTGAGAGGCAGGCTTGCCGGCCAGGCTGGGATCCTGGCAAACAGCAAGGCGGGTCGGAGAGCCCACGCGTCCCCAGATGTGCTTGTTTATCTATGCCGCGGTGGCACTTGCAGCCCGTGCTCCTGGCCTGTCCCGTGGGTGCTGGCTTGGGAGTTGCTGGTGGGTCTCCCCCGGGCAGGATGCGGGAGGAAGGTGTTTACCTCCAGCCAGGCTTCATCCAAAACCCTGCGACACATGAACATTTCCTTCCTCCTCTGCGCTTCCTCCCTGGCCCAGTCAGCCTGTGGTTTTCCTGGGGTGGAAGGAAAGAAGCTGAAACTGCCTCTTGCTTCTGGGGCTGAGCCACGGTGCCTGGCATGACCGAGCTGCCCCTGCATGTCCTGTGCCCCAGCTGTCGAGCAAGGGGCTCCCAGCCTGCTGCAAGCTCAGGGGGGCTGGAGAGCCACAGCTCCCTGCCCTGCATCTCAGGGCTGAGGGACAGATGGATGGACAGCCCTTGGGGAGCTATGCCTGCAGCCAGGGGCAGGGGAATGCCCTCAACAGGGGCAACAGGGAGGCATTTTGGAGCTGGTCCTTTGCCCAGCTTGGGGCAAGCACTGGAGCCCGTCTGAGCACACCAGGGTCTGCAGGGGGCTGTTGCCCAGCTCTGACTTTGCACCCCCTTTACCACAAAACCCCCCTGGGCAGGAGGGGCCGGAGGACCCCAGGGGTGCCTGCTCCCCTCCAAATAGCCTTCAGGGCCATCCTGGGAGGGGGGTCGCAGAGCCAGCAGCCTGCAGAGGGGCAGTTGGCACCAGCACCAGAGCACGTCGCTGTACTCCATCCTTGTGTTTCGCTCCCAGTTTTTGCGCGTGGTGCTTGCACGGAGCCACACAGCTCTGCCCAGGATTAGCGACAGCTGCCTGGAATTGCAGCTCTTCCCAGACAAGCGTCTCGCTCCCCCAAGGCTGGGGCTGGGGCTGTTTGGGGAATGCTGCCGGGGTGGTTTGTCTTGTAGTCTGCTCCAGGAATGTTGGCCAGACGGTCAAATTCTTCTCCCCTCTTGTAAAATGAGTGATGTGGGGCGTCTCTGGGAGAGCAGCCTGCCAGTCCCTCCTCCTCTGGATAAACCTGCCTGGCCCGCACCGCCCTGTCATGGGAACGGGCCCTTTCAACCCCAGCCACAGTAAATACGCACCCTGCCAAAGCCGGGGGGACCCCCCTTGCCACCTGGCCGGCTCCTCGTCCTGCTGCTGCCCCGCTCCGGCACAGCTCTCCGGGGACGCCTCGCTCTTCCTGTTCTCCTGACAGGAGAAGAGAAATCTGGAGTCTGTCTGCGCCGCTCCCCCCTCCTCCCACCATGTCTCACCCCCCAAGTTGCTGTTTTCCGCAGAAATGTCAGCCTCGGCTCTCCTCTCCCCCACTCCTCCTGGTTTTTTTCCCTCTAATCTTGGCCTTCGTCTCCAATTACTTATTCTCTCCTCCCTCTCTCTCCAGAGACCCTGATGGACACGAAGTGGGTGACCTCTGAGTTGGCATGGACAACTCATCCGGAGACAGGGGTAAGTCTGTAGCCATCCCCGATCCCAACCTCCAAAGGGCACGGCTGGCCCCGGCCCCACGGGAACTGGGGCTGCTCACCAGTGCCTTCGCAGAGCTGGCTGCATCTTCCCCCTTCCCTCGCGTGCTTATTCTCTCGCCTTGTGAAACCATCTCCTCCTGACTCCGTGCCGGCGGAGCGGGAGCGCCATGGTCCCTGGCCTGCGTTACTCTTAGTCACCTTGATGACCAGGAGGGTTGGGACAGGTGGACGTGCAGCTGCTTCTCTTCCCTGTTGACTGTTGCTTGGTCGTCTCCCCACCCCGTGCCGTTCGCGATGTGTCCGTAGCACTGATCCCCCCGGCTGGGGGTCTAACCCAATCCCCTCTCACTCACAGTGGGAAGAAGTCAGCGGTTACGACGAGGCCATGAACCCCATCCGCACGTACCAGGTGTGCAACGTGCGGGAGGCTAACCAGAACAACTGGCTTCGCACCAAATTCATCCAGCGCCAAGACGTCCAGCGCGTCTATGTGGAGCTGAAGTTTACTGTGCGGGACTGCAACAGCATCCCCAACATCCCCGGCTCCTGCAAAGAGACCTTCAACCTTTTCTATTACGAGTCGGATACAGATTCTGCCTCTGCAAACAGCCCTTTCTGGATGGAGAACCCATATATCAAAGTGGATACAATTGCCCCAGATGAGAGCTTCTCCAAGCTGGAGTCTGGCCGCGTGAACACCAAGGTGCGCAGCTTTGGCCCTCTCTCCAAGAATGGCTTTTACCTGGCCTTCCAGGACCTGGGAGCCTGCATGTCCCTCATCTCTGTCCGGGCTTTCTACAAGAAATGCTCCAACACCATTGCTGGCTTTGCTATCTTCCCGGAGACTTTAACAGGGGCCGAGCCCACCTCTCTGGTCATCGCACCAGGCACCTGCATCCCCAATGCGGTGGAGGTGTCTGTACCCCTGAAGCTGTACTGCAACGGCGATGGTGAGTGGATGGTACCCGTGGGAGCATGTACGTGTGCCGCCGGATATGAGCCGACCATGAAGGATACCCAGTGCCAAGGTACGTGCGTGGTGGAGTGACGGTGGCTCTTGTCCCTGCAGATGTATTGGTGTGGAGGAGGCGGTTTTGTGTTGAGCTTGGTGTGTGTTCAGAGGCTTGGGAGCTGGGGAGGGAGCAGGGTGGTATCTCAGGAGAATGGGTCTGCAGTTTGACTCAGCATCTGGAAGCCTTAAAGCCTTCATGGTCCAGACTAGCACGGTCCCTGCTGTGACACGCTGGTTAGCATCTACCGGTGCTATCTGGATGCATCTCCTCACTAGGAGCCACAGCTTAAGGCATCGTCCTCAGCAGGGATCCAGCACATTTAAGCCCCTGAGTATTACCAAAACCTCCCTCTCACCCCTGCTGCTGTTTCCAGCGTCTCTCCTCTCTCCCTCCTGCAGTGCTCACGGCTGGGGCAACCGGTTGTTCCTGGTAAGCGTGATTTCACACTGCTTGTGCGGAGGTACTCGGAAACCCCGGTGGGTGAGCAGGACCCCGCTGCGCTGGCTGCGGGAGAAGCCATGTGGATGCACGCTCCCCCTGCCAGCACGGAGGGCTTGCAGCAGGCAGGGGTGGGGAGCGGCATGAAGGCAGGGGAGCCAAAGCTCCCTGTCCTTGCTCAGAGGGGAGGGAAGAGCATCCTGCACACAGAGATATTGGGGATGGAGAGCCACCCTGGGCAGCAGGATGCGGGTCCTGCAGCTGCCATGCTCTCCCATGACAGCTTTGGTGTTGCTGTTTCAGCACAAGTTGAGTGTGGTGATAAGGAAAAATCTGCCCTGATGGATGTTGCTTTTCCTTGGGGTGATTTTGTCCTTGGGAGCTGTCTCCGGCATGCACAACCCTGCCCTGGGGTGGTTCGGGTTTAGGTCCCCTTGGCTGAAGGCATTGCGCAGGGAGTGGGATGCTGGCTGGGCCCCCAGCACTGGATGCCTCATGCTCGCCGATGACGGGATGCTTGGCGCCGGCCCTTTGCTCTTGGCAAGGGCGATGCGATTTGGGACAGCCCGTGACGTGGGGCTTGGGCCAGGCCAGCCTCTCCCCTGGCTTTGGGAGCAGCATAGCTGTCAGCCGGGCCG